GGGTTTTGAGCAATGCGCCTACCTGGACCCTAAAAGTATGTAAAAAAATGGCCTTTATGGCTATTCTTAGCGGTTTAAGGCTATTAGTTTGCCTACTTTTGAGGTTTAGGTAGACCTTCCTAGACCCTCCATCTACCCTAAACCCTGAACCGTAATCCCTAAACCCTACCCTCTATGTACCCACTATTCGGGACCATATACCCCTACTTTAAGAGGACCATATACCCCTACTTGAAGATCTTTAGGGGTAGAATGAGGGTCCTGGTTCATAGCGAGGTATAGCTGGGTGTAGAACCTTCAACTGCTCCCAATCAGATCATAACTGTACATAAGCTAGTTGTATTTTGCACCTCACTTCTACCTACTTATAAGCTTTCAAGCTTTCAAGTGCGATGACCTACCTGCATCTTGAAACCTCACTCCTAGCTACCTCGAACCTCTAACTCCTTCCCTCTACTCCCCACCTAACCAGGATCAAGGCACAACAGCAATCCAATTCTGCGGGGTCAGCGTTGCCAGCTTTGGCCCTGGCAAATGGAAGGATAAGGGGGTTTCCCAAAATTAGGGGTACCATTTTAGGGCTCCCCATAATAAGGATTATATATATTATATTGGGATCTATATTGGGGGTTCCCATATTAAGGGAAACTACCATAAGTCAAGAACATTGCATCGAACTTAAGATTGTCGACATGCGGTGCACCGCGGGAACTGATGCTTAGGCAAAGATCAGGACCCGTATGGAAGGGATGGGATGGAAAGTCCTTGGACCCTTAGGGACATGTTATGCTGCAACACGCTGGTATGTGGCTGCTGTAATTGGAGCCAGAAGGAGGGAATCTTTGAAGGCTTGAATTCCGTGATTTGTAGAAACCCCAGTAGCAAAACAAAGCTAAACACATAAAGTAACGGTCTAGAGGGTTTAGGGTTTAGGGGTTGGGGTTTAGGTTTTAGGGTTTGGAGACTATTTGGGGATGCCCAGCAAACCATAACGCTGTGATTTTTTTAGGCCCTTACATTATGGCAAACAGAATGTCCTGCAGCCGATTGCCGGTCAACACTGTCAAGCAAAAGCGGTCTTGATCCTCCATGCTGGTCTGGTCGCAAGTTTTTCAAACTATTTTGGACCCTCCCTCCCCTCCCTCCCCCTCCCCAAACCCCAAAACCATTAGTATGATGCTGTTTGAAAAACACATCACAAGCTGGCCAGCACCCCGGTTTTGTGGTTTAGGGTGTGACGCGAAACAGCTTTTCCCCGGGCTGGGCTCCTTCCAAAAGGTCAGGGTTTAGGGTTTAGGATTTTAGAGTTTAAGGTTTAGGGCTTTGGGTTCTAGAGTGTACGGTTTAGGGTATCATCCCAGCATGATCTGTGCTGCATCCCACCTGGTTCAAATACAAAATCCCTCCTCTCTCTGGCCCAAGCACATTTTCTCAACTAGTCTGGTGCAAATGCCCGGCTGCTGGACAAAAGGCCTACTCACACTAGCAACCATGTATCTAAATTCAAGCCATGCATTCCACAAAACAAGACTTCGTAGATCTTCGTAGGCGGCTAAGAACCCAAATCTGAACCCTATACCTTCCTCAACAACATATCGACAGCACTAAAAAAGAAACATCTCAAACCCTAATAGCAAAGTTACACTTGGTATTCGTGTATATCTTAATTATCTTCATTATCCTTCTTACGTTTTTTATGAGAGATTCCAAACATTGAAGTGCCCTGGGGCCCATGGAAGCCCGGGGATATGCAGGGATTACCATCAGGGGATTGGGAGGGATATCTGCGAGATCAGCGGGAATGAGCTCACAAACTCCCAAACGAAATCCCTATTCCCCTAAAGATTCCTGAGCCCCAAGAGCCCCATGCAGAAGCCTAAAACCTACCTGAGTAGTAATTTCGTGGTTGAAGCAAGTAAGATGATTTCCTTCCCAGGAAACTCCAAAACGCGGCATCGAATCTAATTGTATATAGGGGACCATCCTATCCTCTTCATAACCACCACTTTACAGGACAAGCCCTCTTGTGGCTATGTTCTCTTAATCCCAGAACCTGAAATTAGGCCAAGTTGGGACCATCTCCGAATACACCACTGTTGCGATGAGGACGTGTCAGGCCATTGTAAATTGCCCAGCTCTTGCTACGCTGCCTTTGCGTTCCCCGCAGACAGCCGCGGGGGCTAGCTCGGGAGCGACACCTCTGCAGCATTCAGATATTCGCTATGGGGGCTTAATAAGTATACTCATAACCCCTATTCATACGCTGTATGACAACCCCAGCTATCCCCATTATTAATCCATTTAGTAAACTCTGCTGACCCAAGTAGCGCACAGAAAGATTAGGGTATATGGAACTGACTGAAGCACTGAGGATGCGCTGGAATTGGCAAGTGTGTCTCGAAGACATGCACAGCAAGTAACGAAACATAGCCTACTATAGTTGTGCGGCAGCCATAGGGGAGTACCGTCCCAGGCGAGAAGAAGTCGGATCTGTACGGTCTCAGGGCTACAGGGGTTCTACAACTGCGAAGAAAAGAACAAATCTGACTATCGGCCTCTTCACTTCCACATCACACCCTCATTACCCTAAATCATAAAACTTTATATGCCTTACCTTGAAGCCTTAGCTCTAAATTCTAGCTGCAAAAGCTTCCTCTTCTGGCCAGGATTCAGACCGCCTGCATGGAGACTCGCCGTCTCTTGGCCATGGCAAACAGCTTAAGTTTAATGTCGAGGGCTTGAGGGTCTTGGGTGGACTGAGGGTTGAGAGGCTAAGGGGTCCGGCATCGAGTTTTGAGCTCTACGGGGTCAGGTTTAGGGTTTTAGGCGGTAGAGAAACTCGCATTGACATCTAAAATGTGCAGCATGCCAATATGAATTCCAAGTGAATATCATGACCTGTTCATGTATGGAAACGTTGATGTATGTTGTCACTGGTGAAGATACATCGCGACCTGAGGTTTAGGGTTTAGGGTTTAGGTGTACCCTATTATAATATAATAGTTCCGTTTTCTTTTCAATAATCCCTATACAACCGCAATATACTATAGTAGTTGCCATTGTCTTTTCCGTTATTCCGAATATAATCCCTATACATTCCCCATCTATAATATGTTGGTCTGGATCGGCTGCAAGATGTGAACACAAAGCAAAACTTCTGCCATGCTTGCAGACATCGGACGATAGCAGCTTTTTTGGGTTTAGGTTTAGGGTTTAGGTCCAGGGACTCAAATAATGGCTACCATTCAGATTACAGTATTGGGGCCCTAAAGGCCTATGATTTAAGTCCTTGAACCCTTAGGGTTCTCTTTTAAGGGTTTCTTCTTCTCGGGTTCTGGCTGGTAGCAATATACCAGATACTGGCGGCATGCAAGCCCCTGATTGAAAATCCATGACCCTCCTGAAGCAGGAACTTACACTCCTGAAGCAAGAACTTACACGGGCGGTTGTCCAAATTATGGTCCCTTTTTGGGTACCCTAAATATTAGGTGCCGTATTGTAATCGGGACCCCAAACCCTACACCCTAAACCCTAAACCCTAAAAAGGGACCATAATTTTGACAACCACCCACATACGAAACTTTCCCTAGACTCACGCCATGCAGGCGCCTGAGAGTTGAATGCCTGGAGGTTCAGGCTTTACCAGGACCTTCCTTGTACCCTTAATTGGGGATATATGGTCCCTAATAGGGGGTACTTGGGCCCTAATAGAGGGTAGGAGGAGGGTCTAGGTGCAGCTATTTTGCAGGGCTGGCAGGGCTCAACTCTGAACGGAACAGCGCATGTACACTAAACTCACTGAAATTCGCCATTCCTGTTATACAAGCTGACTTGTAGCTGGCTCCTTATGAGGATACGTATGTTCGGAAGTGATCTTTCTAGGCATTCAAGATGACGAGAAGGAATGAGGTGTAAAGCTAAACAATGACTCAGGTGAACAATATCACTTGCGTAACATCTAGACATGATTCTAGTCCAATCTACCCCCCCTCTCTCCAAAACCCTATATTCTATTGATTTAGAGTCTCTACTCGCAAAGCTGTCGCCTGTTGCGTCTGCGCATCCAGGCGCATCTCCCGAAATCGTTGCGCATGCGCCTGAGCGGTTCCAGGTCATGCAGGGGCCGAATGAAGTTTAGGGGTGAGGGTTAGGGTTCTATATGTGAGGGTTCCCTGTTGGGGTACGTGTTTTTGTGGAAGCTCTAATGTTCCCCTTAGCGTTATCATCCCGCGTGTAGGGGCATATGTATCACAGGGTGGGGGGGGGGGTGAGGGATGGTGGGGAACTCTTGGGAGAGCGTGATTGTTCATACATGGGGTTTCTTAAAATTAGGGGTACCTTTTTGGGGGTCCCTATAATAAGGACTATAATATATTGGGGTCCCCCTATCTAGGGAAACTACCAAATTACAGTTGCGACAATAGAGAGGGTTTGCGGGGATCTGCCGGAGTTTGGGCTGAATTCTTTGCTTCCTGGGCGAGGTGTGTGGTTTTGGGATCTATGGGGATTTGGGAGGATCTAGGTGTTCACGGGCTAGGGCTTGAGGCTCAGGATCTCAAGCTGAGGGTTTGCGATTCGGGGCACCATTCATGGGCAATGATATGATACGTTGGTTCTGACCTTAAACCCTTAAGCCTACCCTCTGATATATTATTGGGTCCCATATAGTAGTTTCCATCTCATTTTCCGTTTTCCATTTGATTCTCCATTATAGGGGTAATATCCCTATATACCCCTTACTGCCTACAATGGCCACGCCCTGCAGGTTCGGGTGCTCCAAAAGTCACCTTGACCTTGCTACACCCTCGAACAGGTTCAGCCTTTCCCGCACGTGCATTCGCCAAATTTCTGGAGGAATCCTGTGTACACTCATGAAAGCCCATGTTCTGCAGCCCTAGACTAGGCTCCACACCCACCCTAAACCCTGACCCTAAACCCTAAACCCTAAACCCTAAACCCTAAACCTAGAATCTACACCTTTTCAACCTTTGGGCCCTGGCATGATTTAGCGGCAGCACCGGCAATGCCGAGATCTCCAAGGCCGCCTGAAATCCAAAAGCAGGTCTGCGGTCTTAATCAGTCTTACCCGAAGGGTCCATGTAGGTATATGGTATATACTTAGGGCCCAAAGGGGTTCCCATATACCTACTTTAAGGCCCAAGTATATCCCATATACCTACATGGACCGTTTGGGTTAACCAACAACCCTAGCGTCATGTAGGGATGATTAAGCCTGGTGAAAGCTAATCAAGGAGGGAAGCTGGGGGGGAAGTAGTGGGGCAGTGTAGGAAGGGATGGAGAAACCATGAGATTCCGGGTCCTGCTGAGGGTTGAAACTTTGGACGTTGCAGTTTTGGAGCTTTTTTTGGAAGCTTAGGACTTAGGATGCCGTTTGAGACTGTTTAGAACAAGTTTGGGGACTAAGAATTTTGCGTGCAAGGTTCTGAGCTTGCAACTTCACAGGTTTGGGCTGTCAGGCGACAAACCCTAGCGACTCTAGTGAGTGGAAGAAACCTAGGGTTCGGGGTTCAAGGTTATCCTGTGATGTTTACAACAAACGCTCAACAGGGCGATCTTCTGACACGCAAGGACAATCAAAGACACGTGGATTTCCCTGAAGGGCCGAACGCTTTTTAGGAGCAGGGTCTAGATCGACAAGGGTGGTGAAAGCTTTGTGGATTGGCGGCTTTGGCTGAGTATGTAAGCAAACAGAGGCCCAGAAACCAAAGCCCAAAAACCTGGACCCGCAAGATCAAACTCTGAGCTGACACCGCGCAGATTTCTCCACCCCTGCCACAACCGGACTTCGGCCAGCGTGCCGCGATTTTGCACCTTATTGTGCCTTGTCTGGATTTTTCGAATTCCCCAAGGCGCTCCAGTATGTTGTCCCTATCTACTCCACTACCTACACAACGTTAACCTCTGCATACTCCCTACATTATGCCTGTCCTGTACTTGTGGCACAGCACAAATGTGAAAGCACAAATCCATAATGCTAATGGTGTCCTCGCTCTGTAAGGTCTCCTGGTAATCTTTGTTGCGAGGGCGCGGTCTCTAAAAACGGTAATCCTTAACCCACATTCCTTGGCCTCAAACCCACACGAAATCATAAACCCCCACAACCCATCAAACAGTCTGCTGTTGTCCGGGCCTCCATGGAATAGGCCTTCCGTTCCCGCGGCGCGGTCCGGCCGCCACCCGTGGTTGCCTCTCTCATACTCGGAAAATGAAGCAACACATGTTTAATACGCGAGAGAAACTGTGGATATGCGGCACCTGCCTAGCGTTAAGGGCAGGTGGGGGAGACAAGCTTCCAGGAAAATCGTGAAAGTTTACTGGGTTGCTGTTAAGGAACTTAAACTAAGTTACTATACTCAGGACACCCTCTTTATTCGTTTTTCAATATATACCCAATATTATGGTAACTTAACTTACTGAAAGTTCGTTAGCCGCCATCCAGTTTAGATCAACCTCGCGTAGGCCTGCGACTCCTCACGCTACTTCACGAAAGTCCCAGAGCCCAGGATGGTATCCATGTGAACCATGTCACTACGGTGGATACTAGAAATCCTGCATGACCCTAAGTACCTTATACCTTGAGAATTATGGGACTATAGTGTTCAGGGTTTAGGTTTAGGGTTTACCTGGACCCCAAAAATATGCAAAATAATGGCCTTTATGGCTGTTATTATGGGTTTAGGGCTATTTTACATACTTTTGAGGTTTAGGTAGTACTGGAGTGGGGGGTCAAATGAAATATTCCCAGATATTCCCAGTGTATATTGCAGTATACCACACTGGGGAGTATTTAATAATAGGTGGCTGAGGGGGTTAATACCCTAAACCCTAAACCCTAAAACGCGGTTTAGGGTTTAGGGTTTAGGGTTAAGGGGAGGGGATGACTTCTTGGATAACTGTACACTTCGACCTAGCGAGGGTTTTACGGTTTAGGGTTCAGGGTTTAGGGTTCAGGGTCGGCCTTAGCTCCGGCGTTGCGCCCAAAAAATCCACTACAAGTCTACTCCCTAAACTCCCTGAAGCCCTTAAGACCTATATATTCTGCGATCAAAGCCCTGAAGCCAAAAAAATCCTACACCCCAAAATCCGACCCACATAGCAGCAATAATGCTAACAATAATAGCATTAAACGTAGTACGCCATATTAATACTAACCCCCATACTTTGGGCCTTGAAGACTCCGAGCTCTTCGAAGTCTTCGCTGTAGTCGCTGTCGTCGTCCGCCTCAGCAGCCTGGTAGGCGGAGGTCTTCAGGGTAAAGGGAATATTGACGTTATGTTGGGATAATGGAAAAGAACATGGAAACTACTGTAATGGGTTCTATAGGGTATATATTGGAGCTAATTTGGATATATATAGGGCTAATGGAAAAAGGGGAAACTATGATTCAGGGTTGTGGGGTTTAAGGTTTTAGGGTGATAGGTTGGTGTACTAGGAAACACTACAAAGTTACCTATAATGAAATGTGTAAGCGGCTATAAGATTTTTCCCAATTATAATTTGGCCTTCTGTATACCACGTATACATAGGTTTGGGTTCCGGGGTCTAAGTTTTAAGGCAGTTTAGGATTTAAAGTGTTTGGGCTTTGGGTGCAGTGCTTGTTTGTTTTGGTTCAGCGTTCAGGTCTTAGGGTTGAGGGTTTAGGGTTAGGCTGTAGGTCTTGGCTTCAAAGCCTGCAAAGCTGTAAAAAGGGTGCTATATCACAAAGCAAGTCTGTATACCAATGCTAGATAATCAGGGTTGCAGTTAAGGAAGTTAAACTAAATGACCATAGTACGGGCATGTAGTAAATAATGGGGGTTTCCTCAGTCTAGAAACTTAATTCAAGCTCCTTAACAGCAACCCGGCAAGGTGTATCTGGTTACATGGGGTTATATAGGGATAATGAAAACGAACATGCAAACTACTATCGAACAATGGGATCTGTAATCGGGTTTTCGTGTACATATAATTCAAGAACCCTATCATACTCTGTAGCCCACTTTGACGGGAACATTCTTGAGCAGGAGTTGTATACAAAAGGGGGTTTCGACAACCCTAAACCCTAAATCCTAAACCCTTAAACCCTTAACCCGAAAACCCTAAACCCTAAACCCTAAAATCCTAAACCCCTGCTTTCGGGCTTCAGGTTTTGGGTTTGCCCAGCAGGCTTTGGGGGTGTAGCTTGAACAGGGAAACTTCGTTGGCCATTGGAGCCGATTGAAAAATATTATGGGGATTTCCTAAGATCTTGCCTGTAAAGAGGGTTTATAGGGGTTATGTAGGGGTTATAGGGGATACTGGAAAAGAAAGTGGATACTGCTATTTGCGGTTTATGGTTTAGGGTTTCCAAAAAAGAAGGGGTACCTTTCTGGGGGCCCAATATTTTGGAGCATAGTATTTTGGGGTCTACATTGGGGTCCCCTTAGGTTAACCCAGGGAAACCAAGACATGCCTTCAACAAATGAGCATGGCTGCTTGAGAAACAGTTTGTTCAGCTTTTGGCCTGGTCGAGGCTCTAAACTGCACACGTCGATGGCTTGCGCGACTGCTTCGCTGACTCTTCCTATGGCAAGTTCTGAAAGCCAAAATGTAATGTGCCCTGAAACTTCATCAGAGTTATGTCGGCCCCTTCACACCCAAACCTATTTAAGTTCTGTTAGGGCCCTGCATCATGCAGGATGCGAGTTCTGCTCCGATGTCCTGAAGAACATTGGATACGTTACTATACTACTATCCCTATTACCAGTGCTGTCACTAATTATTTCCATCCCAATCCGCGTGACCAGAGAAAGTATCGTTGGACGTACCAGTTGAGCATGGACAGTCTAAAAAGTAGGGGCCATATGAAGGCTTTTATGTCATTGCATTTTGATTCTTCTCCAACTTTTTCTGAGAGAGGGCAATATGCAAACTACAGGACATGAAAAAATCAAGAAAACCACCAGGTGAGTAGTAATGATGTGGGTACCCTTGAGGGCTGACAATGTAAACCTCATATGGCCCCATTATCCTCATGGGAGCTGTATACAAGGCTTCTATGTACCCACCTGGTAAGTTCCCACCTGGGGGTGTCCTTGATGCAAGGTCCCTGAAATTCGTGTGGTTGAGGGTTAAATAGGGGATGGTACAGGGGGGGGGGGGGCACTGTAGGGCTTATTAAGGGAAATACTAGGAGTTTAGACACAGCTCACATGGAGGCTACCAAAGAAAACCATGAGGATACTGCAAAGGTTTGAGTGTTCAGGATACTTTGGGGTACAATGTACTGATATGAAACAGTGCAAGCTCCCAGTCAAATGGGACGACTACACTGTTTCCATGTGGGTTTTTACCCTAAGCCTCCTTTTTTGGCGATAGCTTACTTCGAGGTCAGGAACTTATGCAGATTAGATTGGCCCGCACAGGTCGTACATCATTGTACATCAAAACCAACACCCTCACCACGCCCTTCGGCAGGTGAAGGTTACATGCAAAATTCAGGCGTGCTAATACGTTCATGGCTCGCCCCATTTAAGCACCTGCTGCCGCTGACTATGTTGCAAATGCTAAGTAGGCAATGCTGCGGCAATTACATACGTCATCAGCTGTAAGGGTCCTACTGCACTTGTTGCTTCCAGTGCTCCTACCCTAGAAGCCCAGTTACCTATATATTGGTTTCCTGTCCTTAAGTGCCTATATAGTTTTATATTATCTGTAACCCAAGGACCTACTATATGGGTACCTACCCTAAACCCTAAACCCTCCCAAGGATTTACTATATGGGTACCTGGGCTTCTAGGGCTCGCCTGTCACATCAAGGGTGGGCCTCGTCTGGTCCTGGACTTCTGGATCCTGTGACCTCGGCGTACAGGAGGTATCCAATGTGGATAAGTCCACGTTTAGGGTTGAGGGTTTAGGCTTTAGGGCAAGTCCAAAAACGGGCTACCCCAATGTCAGCCCAACTATCCTAAACCCTAAACCCTCTAGTACAAAGGTCTACCACCCAAGTTTGGAACCTCCAGGCAAGTTCAAAGCAGAAGTCGCCTGCCAGGATTTCGTGATGGATGGGTGCCCAGAGATCATTTCTGGTTGCGAGGCCCCATAGTTTCAGCACGCACCAAAGTACTCCATGTACTGTCTAGAGCTTGTGGAGTGATTCACCTCAAGCGCACACAACAAAGCATCAACATCAAATCATGCTTCTGCGGGAGAGGGGGCAGGGGGCGGTGGGGTGGTGAGCCAATTTTTAGCTGCTTCGCCTGAGAGGTTCTTGTTACTTTGCGGTATTAGATTGCTCCCACTTGCGCAATGCGCTCTCAATGCGAGCCCCCAGAGTGGTGAGCTCAATGCCAGCCTGTTGGAACTCATCCATTGCCTTCCTTGCCGTAGCCAAGCGAGCAGGAGAGGTTCGCGGAAAGACCACAGACAACAACTCATCAAAAGTCCACTTTGCATCCTTTGGCTTTTGGAGAACGGACGTTATGCATATTTCAGAGAAGGGGCGATCGGCCGCAATCCCATATCTCTTCATATCTGCGTAAGCAGCCGAGACATCCTCAACGGAGGCTGATGAATAGGCTCCAACCAAGCAGCTGAAAGTGATGATACTCGGCTCCACGTCAAGCTGCAACATAAACTCCCAAAGATGCTTTGCAGCATTATGCCGACTGCCGCTTGCTTCCCAACAAGCACGGATGGCTGAGGTGATATGCTGCACACCAATCTGCAGGCCCTTCTGCTGCATCTCGTCAAGAAGCTCGCTCGCTCTCAAAACGTCACCACGGGCAGCAGCTGCTTGAATGCCTGTTAGAGCCATCTGTTTGTCCAACTTGCACACTCTTCTAGCCTCCTTCCACAGCTCATCCACCACATCGTGCTTCTCCAATTCGATAAATGTCGTCAAGGCAATGTTATAGGCGGGCGCATCCAGTACACAATTAGACTTGCGCCTATATGTCCCTGCTGCCGCCCGCAGCTGTCCATTTTTCACTGCATACTTCATTACAGCTGTGAAAATTGGGACCTCCTGCCCCTCGTAAGCTGAGAAAAGATGCTTAACACCCTGCCAATCACCTCTCTCACCAACTTCTCGAATCCGAGCCAGCAGAGTGATTCCCTCTGGGCTGAGAGTTGTGTTTGAGGATCTACTAGCTCGAGCTGGCACATTTTCTCCAAGACCCCCATGTTCACGGAGCTGGCTCAAAGGCTCTTGCCTGCAAGCAGAGAAGAGAGGGCAATAGCCTGACCAGAGACAATAGATGACTGCCAGCCAAAGCCATGTAGCATGCTTGTGTGGCAGTTGCATGTTGGCAGCTTCAAGATCAGAGTTGTGGGCCTCAGCACGTTTTACATGAAAGGTTGCGCACGCGTGGAGTATCGGTTTTAGCGTATCCTGTCCCACGCGGATAAAGCAGCTTTTGGGGGGCCAAGGTGGCTGCAGCCCTCAACCCTAAGCCTCCATCTTCAGGCTGCTATGCCCTCGAATGGGGTGTATGACTTATGAACGGGGAGCTGCAATACTTTTACTAAGAAAAGCTCCGTGCTGCAACAGGAACTTTATGACCAACAAATTGCAGGCTCATGCCAGAGAATTTCATTTGGAGGCCTTGAAACCCCGTAAGAAGCTATCCCAAATCAAGCCTTTATATTCGAGCTACTAGTAATAGTCTCAGTAATAGTAATAATATTCGCAATATTAACATTAATCACCTAGACCCAATAAACCTTGACCGTCATTCACTTTGACCAGTCCCGCCCCCTGAGGGTCTGACAGCTGCGGCCGAAGGTGTCTTTGAGACCATCTTCTTGCCTTCTTTCGCGGTGTAGCTATGAGGGTTGAGGGTGGAGGCCAGGATTTAGGGTGTCAAGGGGGATGCAGGTTTATGGGGATTATGGTCTTAGTGTGTCAAGGCTGTTGGATTCTTGGAAATTCCAGTTCGGGGAGCATTAAACGGACAGGGTGAAGAAGGTACGCTTCAAGTATGTTTCTGGATGGTAAAAAGTGTCGCTTCTGCCTGCATTCTTCCTAACCCTCTATAACCCCTAATATGCCCCCCCCCCATTTCTCGAAGCAGAAAAAGATGCATTGGGGCCCCAGTTTTGCGGAAGTAGGTCTGGAGAGGTTTGCAATAGTTTTACTAAACGTCTCTAGATAACGTATGATGCTGTCAGGGGCAGCTTAAAAGAATGCATGGTGGAGTTGAGAGTGAATGGGGCATGAGACTAGAGAGGGTGAGAGTAGTGGTATAGGGGTTCGTACTCATAGTAAGGGGAGGAGAGGAGGCACCGCCACAAAAAAGAACGACCCACGTGCTATTGATACTGAAGCTTCCTGATAGTTTCAGAATGACCGAATTACTTGTTGATGCTGGATATCCTGCCTGAACCTAAGTACCTTGCATTTTTGTGAATGGTGAAATTCCGGTATACTGTGCAGTTCTGGTATCCTGCGGTCTTGCCAGATTTCTAATATCAACAGTATCTCAGATTCCGTGAGTCCAAAAACCTTCACACTTGGGATCTCCAAGAATGGCCGGACCCTTCAAGGTAATTCCTCTGGGAAGGATTGTTAGGACCCCCCCCCAAATAACGCACTGCACGAAATTGCCAGTCAGAAGCTAGGGGCTCCTACGAGAGAACGTGAAGGAAGAAGTCTAGGTATTGCTCTGCGAAGCTCTATGGTTGTAGTGGTCAGCTCATTCAAGGTCTGGGCTCTCCACCCTACCCTGCACACCCAAAGAGTGCACCCTTGACCGCAACCCTCCACTTTGCCCACCTGCAAGCTCCAAGAACTCTGGGCTTTCTCACTTAAACCCTACAACCTATGCCTGAGGTGGACTCCCCACCCTGTAGTAGTGACTATAAGGGATAATAAGGGTTATATTACGGTCCTACTATATTCCTACTATACCACTATTGAAGGGTGGGGGGTCCTCTTAACCTATGCCACTAAACAATAAACCATTGGCTGGAATCATATATGTGCCTGAAACACGTTGATGCCGCAGTCTTTTTTGGGAGTCCAGTCAGGGGCCCTTTCTGTTGAACATACGAGGACTAACTTGACAAGGACTACAAGGGAATGAATCCAGTTCAAAGCCTTAGACCCATGAGCCCCTAAAGCGCTAGAAAGCAAAAGTCCTCCATATGCAGATCGAATGTGATAGAATTCTCCAAGACCATAATACGATCCCCATATGCCCCATATTCTATCTACTTAAGGGCGGCATAAACGCAAAGCATTAAGCCTGACTAAACCCTTGGACTGCCATCTTAGCGTTTCACATCCCAACACCCTGCAGCTTTTCTATGACTTGACCTATAGCCTAAACCCCCAGTAGCCCCTCAGTAAGCTCTATGGTATCCCTATATGCCCCCTAAACCCTAAGCCTTACATACCTAGGCTCGGCTAGTCCCAAAAACAATTAGCCCTAAAGGCCCTACACTTGATGTCTGCGTCTGCAAGCCCGCCTTCCCTATCAGAACAGTCCATCATGTTTCGTGCATTCTGGGGTTACGGTCTACGCCTTTAACAGCTCATGTGAGCATTGTTTTTTTTTAAGGTTAAAG